CCCTATTTTTGCGATGAGATCACTGAGTCATATTAGCATTCTCTTTGTCCTTAGTGGGTTCCATGTGAATTCTTCCGTTTATTTATGCCCCATTAACTTTTAGTCTTCATTAGAACAAGTGGTTCAAGCACTCAAACACGAACACTGAACTTTACTACTTTTCTACTTTTTCATCCTGCTGTTACCGTTAAACGTCGAGGGGAGATGGTGTTTTCTATGGTAGGCCAGCTCCGCAGCTCTTTCAGTTGTTATATTATTATGTTTTCTCAAGGTTTCCTTGACACCCTCGATCCACCTTTTGCGTGGCCTTCCTCTTCCTTTATAGCCTGAGTGCTTGGTGTTGTAGGCTCTCAAGGCTGGCTGGCCAGGTGACATACATGTATGTAACGTGCCCAAACCATAATTTTATTCTCTGTCTTTCTATGTAATGCAGGCAGGACTCAGTGCCGACAGCTGCTCTTACTTCTTCATTTCTCTGCCTGTCTCTTCTTGTGATGTTAAGGGCTTTGCGAAGACATTTCTTTTCGCATGCAGTGATTTTGCTTTCATGGGTTTGGCACTGGTAGCATAATGTTGGTATGCGTGGTGATAAGCTGTCTCTTTGTGTCCATGGACAGCGTTGGCTATTCGAGTTCGCATTTTTATTTCTCTGTCTATGGACCCGTTTTCAGATAAAATACTGCCATGATATATGTACATTCCTTCACCTGTTTCAATTGTTTACTATTGACATGGATGTTCAGGGGACTATGGTTTCAGCTCACTTTCATAACTTCTGGGGTTTTTTTATATGCTTATTTTCATGCTAAATTTCTCGCAGCTGTTGTTCATTTCGGTTGTGTGATTTTGGAGGCTTTGTTGGTTTGGATTAATAAGACATTGGTCGTCTGCTCATAATTTGTTTGTCTCATAGCACGATTATTCGCCGTCGGCTTGCAAGGCCAGTCATCAATGATCACGAACTCTTATTTCAAAGGGGTTGGGCAGGGGGACCAGGGGCAGGGGAGTAGGCTTATGACGCGTGACCTGGCGTACTGGCGAAGTAAACAGACCCTGGAATGCCAAAAAGTGTCCTGCTTTTCGAAGTTGACGTAAGAGGAGGATCTTTGTTTGTTAGTAATGAAATACATGAACCCACAGCTGAATATTTTCCATTATTGATCTGTAAGCGTTTTATGTACGCCGGGTATTGTGTTTACTGATACCAGTACCACCGAGTTTATGGACAGTTTAGACTTTTTATTGACAAACTAAATGAATGTTCAATAACGGTAGGGCGTACTCGATGTTATTGAGATGTTGGATCATTGTACCAACTGATGGCGGTTACTGAATGAATAGGAGCACATTTATGACAGCCCCAAAGAGTGGAAAACGGTAATGAATATCAGTTACCTCTGTGCAAGCAAGGCAGACAGAAAGAGACAATGTAGGGATAGTAGAAAAAGTAGGACGTACCTGCAGCCCCCCCCCCCCCCTAAAAAAAAACAACTTGCAAAGAACGAGAGAGAGAAAGAGAAAGAGGTGGGAGGGGATGGAGAGAGGAGGCAGGAGGGAAAGAAAGAAAGAGAGAGAGAGAGAGAGAGAGAGAGAGAGAGAGAGAGAGAGAGAGAGAGAGAGAGAGAGAGAGAGAGAGAAAGAGGAGAAAGAAAGAGACTGAGGGAGAGAAAGCTGTCCCCGTGGTTTTATGCACCCCGCATAATTTAGCAAAATTGGATCATTTTTTGCATAAATTCTGATTATTTTCCTTTATCATTCTTTGTAAAAAAAAATTTAACAGAATCACATAATTTCACATTTTTGGGCTCAGTTTGCATAATTTCATAATTTTTCTTGCATAAAACTACGGGGACAGAGAAAGGGAGGTTAAGAAAATGTTACCATAATATCTTTTAATGTGTATAGATCTAGAACATTCACGTTCAAGCCTCTCATTGCCATATATAATTTTTTTTTTCTTTTATGATTGCCTACAGAAACACCCTCACTCCCAGCTGGTGGACCTGGGCTGTAACGTGGGCGTGTTCTCCATGTCTGCGGCTAGTCTCGGCCTCCCGGTGTTGGCGGTGGACATCCTGCCGGCGAACCTGGCTCTCCTGCGTCTATCTATGGCTTTCAATGACGCCACAGGGGACGGTTACGATCTCGAGAATAGGAGCCTTCTGGACTACATCCGAGAACACCCGGAAAGAGAAGAACACAAAGGGAACGAAAGCTTATTGGCCAACAGTTCGGGAGTGTACAGAGACAGCAGTTCAGGGGTTTACAGAGACCGGCAGACAGATCATAATATTACAGCTAAACCGAGGGACAGTGCGAGGATCTTCAATGAGAACAGGCGGCCGAAATATTCGGAGCTGATCACAACTCTCCACAATGCTGTCTACAACAGACGAAGAAAGATGGTCGTTTATTTTCCGGATCACCTTAATTTGGGAGGAACAGAGGTTCATGAGTTGACTCCAGTACCACCAAAGCCGTCGAAACAGTCTGGTCAGAATGCAATTCTGCGTAAGATTAGATCTGTGACTGAAGATGTTGCCCTCTCTCCATCCCTTAGTGGTGCTGGAAGACATAAAAGAACCGTGGACAGAGGCGGGAGAGGGGGTTTCAAACAGTCACAAAAGGAAAAACTCTCAGGAAAACACCTACGTCCAGATAGATACAACAAAAAAGCTGGTTCTCTAAAGATTTCTTCATCATGGTTAAAGCTTAAAGACACACAGTCTGCTGTCGTAAAGGCAAACCCTTCTCCTCATGCAGACGTTGTGTCCGGTTCCAACATTGAGGAGAAAGTCAAGGTTCGAACTGATGCAGCCACACGAGAGAAAAATTCCCGAACAGGATTTGTAGTGGACGCAGTTTGTTTGGACGATCTAATTCCTTACCTCCGGCATGGGAGAGCAGTCTTTCTCAAAATGGACGTAGAGGGATCGGAGTCTAAGATCTTACGTTGTGCGTCTAGGTTCTTCATGGAGGTGGACGTTCGAGTGATCCTCATGGAGATGATCTTCCATAAGCACACACCGGAGGGCAAGCAGATGGTTCTGTATCTTCAACAACACTACATGCTGCCCTCGGCGGATGTGTCAGGGAAAAATCTATTGGACCCTGACCATTTGCTTTACTGGCCTCCAAATGTTTACTGGCTCAAAACTAGATGACCCTGACTGTGGGATACATGTATTATGTTCTCTTACAAAAAAAACAACAACAAAAAACCCACAAACAAACAGATGATGCATTGGATGCTTACGCTTATCGAAAAGTGTGTTTGGAGCAGATATCTCAGATTTGTTTAGCCGGTGGTATATATCACAATGTTCATGACGATATCTTTTAAACGGCCTCTGAATGATCACTGGATCCAAGCTAGTTGACCCTGACTGTGTTGTACTATTATTTCTGTTTTGTTTTAAGAAAACATATGAGGTATTGGGTGATTACATTTATCGAAAAGTGTGTTTGGAGGAGCAGATATCCTCAGACTTGTTTAGCCAAGGGTAACATGTTTTAATACATATATTAAAGTGTTCATGGCGATATCCATTGGGTGTGTGTGCATGTTTGTGTGTGTGTGTGTGTGTGTGTGT